CCCCAAAACCCCAAAACCCCAAAACCCCAAAACCCCTTAATTCAATCACTCAATTGAAAGCTGATTATCTTATATTTATTTTGTTTTACATTGAAATTTAATGATATATTCTTCAATTTGCCAGAATGGCTTTTAAAAATTTCTCTCAGAGTTATTGAGCTAAATTGTCTGAAAATAAGCATTCCTCTATTTATTTACTCATTGATCATTGTAAAGTTCTGATGATAAATTTTACTAAAAATCTTAAGACTAATTTTTATTAGAAAATATTTCTCAATGGCAGCAAAATCTAGAGTCTTGATCGAATCAACACAAGGAAGATTCTAGAAGCATTTTTACTAATGATTCCTTGAAGCTGATGCAAGCTGTTTCATTCATAAGTTATTGCATTCATGATTTCTCCTTAACCTTATTCAATGGAAGGCTTTGTAGTAACTATATCTTCAAAAGCAGAATTGCTGAAGAGAATCTGAATAAATCTTTACACATTTTATAAGAATTTACCTTGTAAATCAGAGATTTACAAGGGAGTATAAGGGGCTGTTGCTATGTCAGAGCATTAATTCAGCTCATTCAACACTTTTCAAACACATATTTTAACAATTTCTCTGAAAATTAGAGGACTCATAAAAAATTATGTTAGCAATTTTGGCGTATTCTACATTTCAGCAATCTTATTACGGGTTTATTGTGCACTTTGAGAGGTAGTAAAATATCTCATAAAATAAAAATTTAGCATTCCTCTTCACAGAGGATAGATATTCGATACAAAAGACAAAGCTGAGTTTTGAATGAAGACTAGAAATGTAAAACGAATTGAACCATATTTTTAGCTTAAATATTCGTTTTAATGAAATTTCTCAAAAACAATACCTGAATTACTACCAATCAATTATGATATTTTTACTCATTCTAAAGAGCCAAAAATCCCTTAAATATCCAAAAGGTCATTCTAAAAGGGTAAAAACTGATGGACACAACCAATCTCTCCTCCATAGAGACGATAAATCCCCGAAGGAGAATTCACGAGCATCAAGAATGCAACCAAGCTGTCCATGTATACCCTTGGTAGCAATGAACCTGGACTTCCAAAATTTACTAAATCTCAACCCTTTGATAAATCCCAGTTATACATATTCTCACAGTAAAATAACTTAAGCCAATTCTGGGTTTTTGAATAAAAATTAAGTTTTAGCACCTTGATTCGAAGTTATGAGGGACTGACTGGATGCTGATCTATAACTCATGTTTAAGTTTATAAGAAGAACATGGAAATGAAAGAAAAATAGTGTCCCAATGAGAAATTTGAGGGATTTAGCTTACTTTCTTGCCCATCAGATGCACTCTTGGCCTTTTTATAGCGTTTATTTTATCGAGTTTTAAAGAAACTGAGCTCAAGCTGATGCTGTGAAGTGTTATCAATAGTAATACAATACTTGTTCTGAGAGCTTGGAGTTTTACAAGGAACAATACTGAAGGAATCTTTGTGAAACTCAGGGATTCATAGAGGTTTTCTATTTATCCTATGAATTTACATCAAAATTTACATTTTCCTTTTAGCAGGCACACTTTTATTTGAAGTATTCATTCATTTTGGTACTGACTTTAACATTTTTGTTACCCTATTAGGAGGGTTAGTTCAGAGAGCTTACTTTGATAAAGCCATACCCTGTGCTTCCTCTATTTTTGTTAAAGTTGCTCTTATTAGAATAGCCTAGTGAAGTCCTAGCCACTCTATCATCATTTTTGTTACAGAGGATGGGAAACTTTTCTCTATGATTAGCTATAAATTAGTAAATGAAAATACATTGGGAAGGCTCAAGGAAAATATTAAAGTATGTTTGTGTCTGGTCGCTTATCTGCTCAAGTCTGTTCTTACGGTCTTCCTCAGATATATTGTTCAGCGGTTTTGGCTGTTCATCATCGTTTATCTATATTTTAGTATTTTAGTTGAGCTCACATTTGGTTTAAAGTTCAATCCATTAGGGTTCAAGACTGATTCTATAGAAATAACTGATACGTTAGAACTACTTTTAGGTGCTCTGGTATCTTCTACTTCATAAGTATTATTTTAGTTTCACCTCTGATCCTAAGTAAAATGAGTTTAAAATGTGCTAAGTAGATTTGATGAAAGGTGAAAGTTACCTTTCGATTTCACATTGTAATTATTCAGAGTTTTGAATGCATTGTTGTTCATAAAATCCTTGCAATCTCCTGAAGTTGCAGACAGATCATTGCAGTTTAGAAGATACTATAGGTTAGGACACTGATACAATGGAATTATTAGGCTTCCCAGAATCAGAAGGGAACTGCTCCTTTGATTTTCTAGGGATCTCCTTCTCTCTGCGTTTGCTTGTTCCCTTCTCTGTTGAACATTCAGAGGAGACATTCTTAGGCATAAAAGGTTTCTTTGGGAACTACTAATAAAGAATACACCTACATAACCCTTCTTACGATCTCTAATCTTTGTCAACATGTGTTTGGTCGAGAAGCATTTGAAGGGAGCCTCGATATGCTCTCTTCTCTTCAAGGATTTATGATTTGCATCACTTTTATACCCCTTGTTAGGAATTGTGATCGAGTTCGGGTGAAAAATATTAGTCTTTTTCATTTTGAAATAACTTTCATTGATTTTAGGGTTTATTTTGGACTCTTTTTCTAATCTTCTCATGTTCATTTTTAAGTGTAAGTGGTTTACCAATCTTTTGTTGTTCAGATAATCACTGTTCGAGTTCTATAACAGCATTTTGAGCAGATAATAACTATAAAATATCCAAGTTTTGAAGAAATTAAGAGGCAAATGAAAATTCTACATCTTGTTGGATGCACATACCTTAATACGGGTTGTTATGGCTTCATTTGGAACCTCAGCTAAAGTCCCGATTTCTGTAATAGGAAATTTAGGCCTGTTTTTACATTTATTTCACTCTTGTAGGGATTTTTAAGTGCAGATATTCATGGAGGAAGCTCTGTGGTTCTAGAGAAGAGTCTTTAATCTTCTTGTTTTGACTTCTGGTCTTCCTCTTAGGCTTTGGTGTAGAGAATAGCTCGGTTAGGTCAGAATTGAGCTTGTTGTCACTTCCTTTCATTCCAATACTTTTATTAAATATTTATGATAAAAAGTTGTTTTAGGGGTTTTGGGGTTTTGGGGTTTTGGGG